TGTATAGTTTAACATTTAACATTAACACATAACGTTTGCAGTTTTTTTTTTTTTCACTTTCTATTACTGGAAGTATAGGTTCCTTTCTGCTGTGAGTACACAGAAGACACGTTACATATTTTGTGTCAACTGCAGCATGTTTGATGTAAACAGCTGAAAACAACTTTTTAGAGTAGAAAACATGAGCCCCTGTGTAAATTTCTTACAGCAATTTTTATGTGCATGACACTTCATAGTTTGTGTTTTTTTGTCTTTTAGATGAGCTACACAGCTAGCTGCCCTTGTCTAAGTGACAGGCGCCAATTTCCCAATTTCTTCAGAACCATGCCCAGTGATATTTATCAAGCCCGTGCAGTTGCCCACCTTGCTATACACTTCAACTGGACCTGGATCGGAGCAGTGGTGGCAAACAATGATTATGGCCTAATGGCAATAAAGGTGTATCAATTTATTTTTATGTATGTTGTTTATGTTTGAGAAATGTTAAGAAATCTACATAAATACAATGTTTAAATATTTCTTACTTTTCTAATCTTTCAACTGTAAATGTCAGATATTTCAGGAGGAGACTCAGGGGGCAGGGGTGTGTCTGGCATTTGTAGAAACTCTCCAAAGGGAAAACATCATGAGTGATGCCAGAAGAGCAGCACTCACAATTCAGGCATCGACTGCTCGAGTGATTCTGATCTTTACCTGGTATACAGATGTGAGGGAACTGTTTCTGCAACTAACCAAGATAAATGTAAGAAGCTGAAGTAAAACTTTATATTGAATTTGTAAATAATAACTGATCTTATTTGAGGAAAACTAATACTTTTTAAAATGACCCTTTGAATATGTTGTGTTACTATCATTAGGTGACTGACAGACAGTTTCTGGCCAGTGAGGCTTGGAGCACCAGTGGGGATCTTCTCCAAAATCCTTCCACTTCTAAAGTGGCAAGTGGTGTTCTTGGTGTGGCCATTAGAAGTTCACCTATACCTGGATTTGAAAATTATCTCAGAAACCTGAACCCATTTCGTCGTCCTGATGAGAGGTTCTTAAGAGAATTTTGGGAAAAAATGTTTGCTTGTAGTCCTGGGGCCACACCTTTTTCTTCATACACCACTTCACCATCTCATGGAAGCAGGTTGCTTCAAAAGACTTCTCTGCCGCTCTGCAATGGTACAGAGTCCCTGGAGAGAGTGCAGAATCTCTTTACTGACACCTCCCAGCTAAGGGTGACGTATAATGTCTACCTCGCTGTTTATGCTGCAGCCCACGCCCTTCACAACCTTCTCTCATGCCCCGATAGTAACAACCCTCCTGGAAACAACAGCTGCTCCTATCCAAAACATATCAAACCCATAGAGGTAAACACAATTATCTCAATTTCAACACTTGCACAACATGTACTATAGACTTTCACATCCTGTGTTTGCCAATTTCGAAGGGTTGATATCTTAAAACTGTTGCATTCATCAAATAAAAAAAAATGCACTACTACTATTAATTTATTTTTATATTAACAATACTGGTGAAGTTTTTACGTGTAGTAAAAATATTTACTATTTCAACCTATTGATGCTTTCAGGTACTGCAGTACTTGAACAACTTGAACTTCACCACACCACAGGGTGAAATGTTTTACTTCCAAGGGGCTGACATTCCAGCAAAATACGACCTTGTCAACTGGCAGAACACTCCTAAAGGGCAACTCAAACTCGTTCTCGTTGGTCGCGTGGATGGGTTTGATCTCCACCTTAACGAATCAGCTATTCAGTGGAGCACAGGATCCAGTCAGGTGGTCAAACTAGTAGAATCTTGATTCAGGCCAATACCAAAATGTCCACTGAATTAAATATTTACCGTGATTCACAAGATATTATGTAATGAAAATCTGTTTTCATTTGTTGTGTAGGTTCCTCTTTCAGTGTGCAGTGAGAGCTGCCGCCCAGGTACTCGCATGGCAACCAGAAAAGGGGAACCTGTCTGCTGCTTTGACTGTATCCCATGTGCTGAAGGGGAGATTAGCAATAAAACTGGTGATGAAATTATGACATATGATTTTCCCATAAGCATTTTCCCAGTCAGCACCAATTCCAATCTTCCAATATGCAGCAACTGTGACTTTGTATAATGTTTTCAGCTCTTTTTCCCTCTTTTGTATTCCTTGCCCTCCCAGATTCCCCTCACTGTGAGCGTTGTCCATCTGAGTTCTGGTCCAATGATGAACAAACTGCCTGCATCCCTCGACAGCTGGACTTCCTTTCCTTTAATGAAACCTTGGGCATTACCCTAACTACAGTCGCTGTGTCTGGTGCCACCGTGACAACAGCTGTGTTTGTGGTTTTTCTCTACTACCGTCAAACACCAATGGTAAGAACCCAGAATAATACAATTGAGACAACACTGTACATTTTCAACAAATCCTTTCTGGTTTGTAGTTATTTTGATTAGTATATTTACTCTGGAAAAACAAGATTCTGCTTTACTGTATAATTAAAAAAATATTTGTTAAAAACTATTTTAATCAATCCATCTTTGTCCATTTCTCATTTTAAGGTGCGAGCCAACAACTCAGAACTGAGCTTTCTGCTTCTTCTGTCGCTGAAGCTCTGCTTCCTGTGCTCGCTGGTGTTCATCGGTCGTCCATCAGTCTGGGCTTGTCGGTTCCAGCAGGCAGCTTTTGGGATCAGCTTTGTACTTTGTGTTTCCTGCCTCAAAGTCAAAACCATAGTGGTTCTGGCAGCTTTTCGCTCAGCTCGGCCTGGTGCTGAGGCCTTGATGAAGTGGTTTGGTCCAGGCCAACAGAGAGGAAGTGTCTGCCTTTTCACCTGTATACAGGTCAGAGTTGCAAATGCCATTTTTTAATAACAAAGTTATTACACATTGCACCATTACACGTACACATACCTGATTTTGTGCAATATTTGTTTTTCATCAAGGTTATCATCTGTATTATTTGGCTATCGCTCAGCCCCCCAGTGCCTCAACCTGACTTCGATATCCCAGGATTAAAGGTCACCCTGAAGTGTGCCATGGCTTCTGTGGTGGGCTTCTCTCTTGTTCTGGGCTACATTGGCCTTCTGGCCTGCACCAGCCTCCTCTTGGCCTTTCTTGCTCGGAAACTCCCAGACAACTTCAATGAGGCCAAACTGATCACCTTCAGCATGCTGATCTTCTGTGCTGTCTGGGTGGCCTTTGTTCCTGCTTATGTTAGTTCTCCAGGAAAATATGCAGTTGCTGTGGAGATTTTTGCAATTCTCGCATCTAGCTATGGTTTACTGTTCTGTATCTTTGCTCCAAAGTGTTTCATCATTCTTTTGAGGCCTGAGAAAAATACTAAGAAACACCTGATGGCCAGGTAGCAAAGAAAATTAACAATGCATCCTGTGACTTATAAAAATTAGAGTGACATTAATCAAACAGCCATCATAAATCATCTAATTTGTGATTATTTCCTTAAATCTCAATATGCACACATTTATTTTATTTGTATAGTACTTTGTCATCAATTAACAGTAATCTTTAATTTTTCAAATTTTTCTCATACGTATGTGACATAGGCCTACTGTATCCTAAAATATCAGAATGACAGATTTGTGTATTGCTGCACATTACTTGAAGATTCATCAATGTTTTTTTCACCATATAATGTCTGATATATTCACATAGTCAACTGAATAGTTTGTGGTATGTAGATAGATGAATATTTTTCAAACTAATTAAAATTAAAAACACTGGCCTATTTGACCTCAGTGTTTACTTATTTTACTAATGTAACAAACCCTGTACAGCATACGAAAAACAACAACATTAATAAGCATAAATAAAAGTTCCATGCTTGTGTTGTTGTTTTTCAAATTGATGCGACTGTTCTGTTTGCGTCACAGTTTGTAGCATGAACACTGATTTTGAGTTTTGAGAAAATCAAAGTTCTGAGAGGAAGTCACATCAGATTACATTTAATTATTAAAAAAAAAAGACATTTTAGTCCCCTTACCATAATTACCATGTAAGTTGTTTGTCCCTACCCTCTGACATGACCCATAGGAGCATTTCCTGAACTAGCGCCCCTACAGCTGCAAGATAGCAGCAGATAAACTAAAAATAAAAGAATAAAATTCAGGGCCTGTGCTTACAATGTATGATTTTTGTTTTTCTTATGGGAGGGATATATTGTATTTCAGTTAAAGATGTCTTTCTTTAACTGAATGCCATTTAATGATAACAATCCTTCATATTCATAAGGTTAAATTAAAGTTGCTGTAGGTTTTCATGACATAAGTGCGACAGGTATGCCAGCCTTACATGTTTCTCTTCAAAAAAGGGGCTACCTGTATGATCTTGTCCGTTCACTTCATAAGCTTTTGCCTGTTTTGTTTATGTGTGTGCATTTGTGCTACATGTTCATCTCATTGTTGTTTGTCTCACCAAAAAAAAGACCCCAGTGAAAACAGCACAGCAGGACCAGACAGGCCTATCTGAATCAAATATCAAATGACATATGTTTGATCATTCATACAAAAAAAAGAATTGAAGAACTCGATTTGATAAAGAAATAGAATACATTGGCTTGGACCGACACACAACTTCCACCTCTTACCTACAAACACTAATCATTTGCAATTATGTGGTTGTTGTTTTACTGTCACTCTTGAGAGGAGTGATTTGGGCTTGTGTGCATGCGCCATCGTGTTTACTTGCTTGCAAAAATGCTTCACATCTATTATAAATACCTACATCAACAGTTCAGCTGTTCAGAGGAGGAGGGGGGCTATCTCACAGTTTGTCAGATGCCAGTGCAGCTTATATCTAGTGCATGAAACATTTTGAACTGTTTAAGTTGTTTTGCTCTACAGGTGGATGTATTAATGCAAAAAATATTACGTTTTTCTACTGTATTTTTTTGTCATTGCAGGAACTGTTTATAGATATTGATTTCTTGCCAAAGAGCTACCTAAGCTGAGTGTGCAGTAAATATTTTAAGTGTCCAGAACAGCTGCATCTATGTCTATATGGCTCATCACACTGTGGCCCCGCTCAGCCCCATCGCTGCTCCTTGTGGGGCTTTTGGGCCGACAGCTAGGGCTCAGGGTGGGACTGCAGGATGTCCAGACAGTGGCTTGTTCTCGGTGGGGTGCACCACGTAGCCAGGGTCTGTTCCAGGATGGAGATGTAGTTATTGGTGGGCTCTTTATAATGCATTATCAACCTCCAGCTACAGAGCATGACTTCACTCAGCTGCCACACTACAAACCTTGTTCTGGGTAAAACTTTGAACTGAGCTATAATGTCACTGTATAAGAATAATGACCATCTTTGCATTTTCTGTTCTTTTTAATATGACAAAAACTTCTAAATCTGGATTAGTGCTGCTGGCTTTACAGAACGAACCAACATTTTGGCTGATATTTCTCTCATTCTTTCTTTGTTGTGGTCTCAGTTTAGATCATGCTCCATTGCAGTATGTATATGCTATGGTGTTTGCAGTGGAGGAAATCAATCATAGTACAATGCTGCTACCAGGTGTGAAACTGGGCTACCACATTTTTGATAGTTGTGGCCAAGTGCCATGGGCTCTCCCGGCAGCGCTGTCGCTGGTTGGAGGAGGCAGCACCAGCTGTTATTCAACAGAGGTTCCAGATTTTTCTGCTGGGTATGGAGAGGAAATCGAAGACAGGGGAGGTATCTTGTGTGTTTCCATCATATTCGTTCTTTAACATAACCATATGAAATGACAGCGAAACTAATGCAAAGCTTTGTTTAACAGAGAACCATATATTTTGCTGTTTGTGTAAACATTATTTTTCATGTTATAAATCCTTAATTAAATTCCATATTTTTAAATGCTGCATCAGGTGATCAAGCTGTTCCCCTGATCATCGGTGGTGCTTCATCCGTAACAGCGCAGATACTCTCCAGTACCCTGGGGCAACTCTCTGTACCTTTAGTGAGTTTTGTTTTGAGTACAACATAAACACTGTACTGTAGCTTTTTTCTCCTTACTTTCACTATCTTTTCCCCAAAGCACTGTGTGTTTTGCTGTGTGGGAGAGGACCTACTTTCATGCAGTAAAAAGTTTCTTCTTTCCTCTGACAACTTTCGGGACAAAGACAAAAAAGTCTGGATGTGAATCAGTTTGAGCACATGTGATTCTTTTAAGAAAAATTGGTACATTTTAATGAATTAACTCAAAGTAACTGAAGATGTAACTTTTTGTGTCTTTCAGATTAGCTACCTAGCGAGCTGCCCCTGTCTGAGCGACAGGCTCCGATATCCTAACTTCTTCAGGACCATCCCCAGTGATATTTATCAAGCCCGTGCAGTTGCCCACCTTGCTATACACTTCAACTGGACCTGGATCGGAGCAGTGGTGGCAAACAATGATTATGGCCTAATGGCAATAAAGGTGTATCTATACATGAAATCTACATAAATTCAATGTTTAAATACTTTCCTATAATCTAATCTTTTTGTTCCTTTCAACTGTAAATGTCAGATATTTCAGGAGGAGACTCAGGGGGCAGGGGTGTGTCTGGCATTTGTAGAAACTCTCCAAAGGGAAAACATCATGAGTGATGCCAGAAGAGCAGCACTCACAATTCAGGCATCGACTGCTCGAGTGATTCTGATCTTTACCTGGTATACAGATGTGAGGGAACTGTTTCTGCAACTAACCAAGATAAATGTAAGAAGCTGAAGTAAAACTTTATATTGAATTTGTAAATAATAACTGATCTTATTTGAGGAAAACTAATACTTTTTAAAATGACCCTTTGAATATGTTGTGTTACTATCATTAGGTGACTGACAGACAGTTTCTGGCCAGTGAGGCTTGGAGCACCAGTGGGGATCTTCTCCAAAATCCTTCCACTTCTAAAGTGGCAAGTGGTGTTCTTGGTGTGGCCATTAGAAGTTCATCTATACCTGGATTTGAAAATTATCTCAAAAATTTGCATCCAATTCATCATCCTGGTGATGAGTTTTTAAGGGAAATCTGGGAAGCCGAGTTTGGGTGCATTCCTTGGGCCACTCCTCTCTTTTCATATGTAACCACTACAAAATGGCCTAGTCACCCATCAAATAATATTACTTCATCTCCTGCCATGTCTGTTCTGAAAGCTTCATTATCACCCTGCAATGGCACAGAGTCCCTGGAGAGAGTACAGAATCTCTTTACTGACACCTCCCAGCTAAGGGTGACGTATAATGTCTACCTCGCTGTTTATGCTGCAGCCCACGCCCTTCACAACCTTCTCTCATGCCCCGATAGTAACAGCCCTTCTGGAAACAACAGCTCCACCTGTTCCTCTCCAAATAACATCAAACCCACTGAGGTAGAAATAATTATCAGCCTTTCCCTGGGAATACTCCAAAATACATTTGGGATAAGTATTGTCTTACAAAGGCTCTGTCAGTTACAGTGATAAATTTCAATATTTTCATAATTTCACAGCTGTTGCAGTATTTGAACAACGTGAACTTCACCACACCACAGGGAGAAATGTTTTATTTCCAAGGAGCCGACATTCCAGCAAAGTATGACCTTGTCAACTGGCAGAGCACTCCTGAGGGGCCACTGAAACTAGTTTTGATTGGTCGTGTGGATGGGTTTGATCTCCACCTTAATGAATCAGCTATTCAGTGGAGCACAGGATCCAGTCAGGTATTAAATAGGAAAATAATATGGAACAAAATTTCTGTTCATGGAATTTTTGCTGTCAGAATACATTTGTTTTGTCTTTGAGAGTATGGGTTGGCTTGTTGTTTAGTTACCCATTTCAGTGTGCAGTGAGAGCTGCCCCCCAGGCACCCGAATGGCCAGCAGGAAAGGGGAACCTGTCTGCTGCTTTGACTGTATCCCATGTGCTGAAGGGGAGATTAGCAATAAAACTGGTGAGGAAATTACAACATAAAACTTCAGAAACCTCCTAATGCCTCCAAATACAGTCACCATAACTCATGAATCTGTCTGCCTTAGGCTCAACTGCTCTTTTTCCTCTTCCAGATTCCCCTCACTGTGAGCGTTGTCCATTGGAGTTCTGGTCCAATGCTAAACGAACTGCCTGCATCCCTCGCCAGCTGGACTTCCTTTCCTTTAATGAAACCTTGGGCATTACCCTAACTACAGTCGCTGTGTCTGGTGCCACCGTGACAACAGCTGTGTTTGTGGTTTTTCTCTACTACCGTCAAACACCTGTGGTGAGAACCTAGATATACTGCGCATTTTCAACAAAATCTCCTTGGTATGCGGTTGCAGCGGTAGCTTTTTTTGTAAAAAAGAATATGACTTTTCTTTTGTAGGTGCGAGCCAACAACTCAGAACTGAGCTTTCTGCTTCTTCTGTCGCTGAAGCTCTGCTTCCTGTGCTCGCTGGTGTTCATCGGTCGTCCATCAGTCTGGGCTTGTCGGTTCCAGCAGGCAGCTTTTGGGATCAGCTTTGTACTTTGTGTTTCCTGCCTCCAAGTCAAAACCATAGTGGTTCTGGCAGCGTTTCGCTCAGCTCGGCCTGGTGCTGAGGCCTTGATCAGGTGGTTTGGTCCAGGCCAACAGAGAGGAAGTGTCTGCTTTCTTACTTGTATACAGGTATAACAAATGTGACTTTCTTTTTTTAAAATATATATTTATATTAATATTCAAATTCATTTTGGTAGGCTATTTTACAAAAGTTGATTTACATTTTATTCTTACCCAGGTTATCATCTGTGCCATATGGCTGTCCCTCAGTCCCCCTGTGCCCCAACGTGATCTGGGTTTCCAAGGGTTAAAGGTCACCCTGGAGTGCGCCATGACCTCTGTGGTGGGTTTCTCTCTAGTCCTGGGTTATATTGGCCTTCTGGCCTGCACCTGCCTCATACTGGCGTTTCTTGCTCGGAAACTCCCTGACAACTTCAATGAGGCAAAACTGATCACCTTCAGCATGCTGATCTTCTGTGCTGTCTGGGTGGCCTTTGTCCCAGCTTACGTTAGCTCTCCTGGGAAATACACAGTTGCTGTGGAGATTTTTGCCATCCTGGCCTCTAGTTATGGTTTACTGCTCTGTATTTTTGCTCCAAAATGTTTCATCATTCTTTTGAGGCCTGAGAAAAACACTAAGAAACACCTGATGGCCAGATAGCATAAAAAAGTTAACAATGTACCCATTTTAGCTCATCAACTATCACCAATATTCAATATACGTTTTTGTCTTAGCTCCTTTCTTCTCAGTTTCCATCTATTCATAGTCACTGTCAAAAGAGCAGTCAGCTATTTAGAAATCACAGAGTGAAAACAGGATCTTGTCTTGTGTGAAAGTTTTTTCACTCTTCTATTTAATGCCGCTACTTGATTCATTTTGGCGTGCCAGAGCCCTATGCACAAGATTTTTATGTAAGGGCAAGTCATGGGGAATGTGACAAATCGGTTTCATTCCAGTGTCCTGTGTCAGTGGTTCTCTCTTTTGTTTTGGTTCTCTTTAAGGGAGGTATGTGGCTCCACCCTGATGTGAGCATCACGACTGCCAGCCTGGAATGATTCCTGGAGTTTCTGTATTTGATTGATGTATTTGGTTGTATGTTTGTATTTATTGCCCATGTGCTGTCAAGTTGACAAAAATGTTTTTGTCTTTCCAAGTGGCAGTCTCTCAAGCAACCACTAGGGTAATAATTTATGCTTAGTTATGACTTATCACAAATAAGTCATTAAAGTTTTATACATCCAAGAGTTGACTGCATGAGTTGAGAGCCCTAAGTGTAAATCTGGTACTGTTTTCAATGAAAAAAAATCTTTCCCAGTTGACACAATAAAACACATTTCAGCAGTTCATATGAGGACATAATATTTTATCCAGTTAAAAAAAATGAATGTCATCCAGAACACTGCAACCTCTCATAGAACAGTAATTTCAACCAAATTCTACACTTCATGAGTGGAAATTCAAAATACAATTCAAATGCTGGTGGAAAGATATAAGCCTGGTATTCTGTCACCCCTAGTCACTTAATTTGTTCTTACATTAGAATCACTGAGTTATTTAAGAATAAATTTGCCATGTCCATGGAAATTAAGGAATATTATTTCACTGTTTATTACCAAGTATATCTTATGAGTTGTAGTTTACAATTGTGAAGAATAATTTATTCAGAGAATATAACTTTAAGTATAATCAGGTGTAAGGTTAAGTTAGACCATGAAAAGTCACAAAGGCCATAGAATTTGAAGTACAAGTAAACTACTTTGTATTTAAACTTCAAACTTGTGTTTATGTATTCTCAGAGATTTCACACCCAAAAACATTCATTTGGCATAATTACTGTTATTCAAATAACATTTCTATTACTATCACCAAAATCTGAATTAACTAATGTTCACCTATTTTTCTGCCTATATTTTTATATTATATGAGAGAAAATGGATTCATTCCATCTTGTGAAATTAAGTAAAATGTTTATGACTCAGTGCGTCGACCCATGATAGCTTTCTTCGTGTTCCTCTCTGGTCTTAGCAGGATAATGTAACATTTGGGTCCAAACAGCGCCAACAAGAGGCCAAAACTAGAGGCCAGGATGGCAAATACCTCCACTGCATCTGCATATTTGCCTGGTGAGCTGATATAAGCAGGGACAAAGGCCACCCACACAGCACAGAAGATCAGCATGCTGAAAGTGATGAGTTTGGCCTCATTGAAACTGTCTGGAAGATTCCTTGCCAGAAATGCAATGAGAAAACTGAGTATAGCCAGCAAACCAATATAACCCAGTAACACTGCAAAACCAATTGTGGACCCAACTACACACTCATAAACTATCTTGTCATTGTGGTATTGGGTGTTTTTATGAGGTGCTGGTGAAGCAGAGACAAGCCAGGCAGTACAGATTGCTGCTTGAACAGAAGTAAGAACCAGAACTGTCCCTCTCTGCTGCACAGCACCAAACCACTTCAGACTGGCTTCACCTCCTGGCTTGGAGGCCTTGAACACAGTCAGAACCACCATGGTTTTCACCAGGATGCATGAAACACAAAGCACAAAGCTGATCCCAAATGCTGCATGTCTCAGCTGGCATGTCCACAGTTTGGGTCGTCCAATAAACAGCAGTGAACACAGGAAACATAGTTTAAGTGACAACAATAGTTGGAAACTAAGTTCTGAATTGTTGGCACGTACTATGGGTGTTTTGCGATGATAGATAAAGATCCCTAGGACAACAGCACAGATAAATGTGCCCAGCAATGAGGCTGTTGTCAAGCAGATTCCCAGAGGCTCATGGTAGGAGAGGAACTCTGTTTTCTTGGGGACACAGTGGTCACGCTGGGGGTTGGACCAGAAATCCTCTGGACAACTTGCGCACTCCATGGAGTCTATTAAGAAAGGGAAAGTAGTACGATAAATGTGTATACTTTATATCCAAACTGCTGGTTTAAAGCTGAACACTCACCAGTCTTATTGCTGATCTTTCCCTCAGAACAAGGGATGCAGTCAAAACAACATTCAGGTTCCCCCTTCTTTCTGGCCATGCGGGTACCAGGGGGACAGCTCTCACTGCACACTGACCGGGGGGGCTGTAGGGAGAAAAATAAATATCTGTTATTCTACACTACTAAACACTGCTAGATGGGTTATCCATGAGCCAAAAACCAGTAATCTGAAAAATCAGAAGTAACCTCTTTGGATTCAAAGTTCCAAAAGATTTTATCTTCATCAAGTGTGAGTTCTTCACCTTTTAAGGCTGATTTCTTAACCTCACCCACATTCTGAACTGTAATTCGTCCATCAGGGAGCCACTGCCAGTTCATGATATCATAGATTGGTAAGACATCACCATTCTCATCAAATGACACTTGATCACCAAATGGTGTGGTGAAGTTGACCTTTTCCAAGTAATACACAAGCTGTGCAAATAAGAATAAGAGATAGAGGAAAAACCAAATAGGATAAATGAAAAAAAAGACACATATATGACCATGGTGAACACAGGGATACACTTATGGTCATATCAAGTCATTAGAAATTCCAACAAAGCATTTTCTTTAAAGTAATGCCACATGAACTACAATACGATGTACCTAGTGAACAGAGTGTTCTCTCTGACCTGATGATACTAGCCAATGCTATCACCCAGTAAGGAAAATCCTTTCAGATATCTATCAAGCATTTTACAATTGATGATCTAAATGCATTTTACTTCATCTTATACAGTAAGTGCTACTCCACCATAAGTACTAAAACACAGGATTCGGTAATAAACAGATGGAGTGTAAATTGATATCTCACCTGCCATGGCTCCAGTCTTTGTAAATTACCACAGCTGTTCAAGCTGAAAGGCCCTCTCCCTGGCTCACACTGCATCATGTCATCAAGAGCATATGCCAGAGCATACACAGCCTTATACACATTGTACTCTGGCCTGAGATTTAAAATGTCCAAAAACTCAGTCTCCATATTGTCTAGACTTTCATGTCCAGTGCATAATGCTCCTCCAGCCTCCACCCACCCTGCTGGAGGTGATGCAAATCTACACCGAAATGTATATTCCCAAAACTGATTTACCTGAAACATATTCAAAACTACAATTACAATTTGTTACTTTTGTAAATATCAGATACCAGCAAGGCTAAACTCTCACCATGTTATTTCCATAGCTGTTGTTGTGGTGTAGGTCAGGACGTATTTGTAACAGAAATGCCCTGAGTCCTGGTATTTCTCCTCGACGGATGGCAATGCCCAGTGTTCCACCCAGGTACGGCATGAGGTGGGGGGTCTGGAGCACAGCAGCTGATGTCCAGGCTTCACTGGCTATCCACTGCAGGCCTGTCACATTCTGCCTCACCACCTGTACAATGCATTATACCAGCTATAAATATAAATATAAATTCATACTGCCATGCCACTAAAGAAGTATCTATACTGTTTATATGGTCAGTGGTTAACTCACTCATGTAAAGGTAAAATCCTGGGTTTTACACAGCATTATGATCAAAGTAATCCATAACTTCAACTCATCCCAGAAGGCAAACTCACTTTCAAACACTGCTGGTAACACCTTTTACAAATCATTTATTCAATTAAATCTATTTGTTACACTCTAATAAGTTTTTGCTCCATAATACTTTCAGTTTGACAAGGAAAACATTATGACATACAGTATGTTAAGTTATAATGAAAGAGTATTTCTAGCCCGACCTCTTCCATGAGATCAATCATGTGACTCTCATGTGCAAACACAATGACCACATGAGCTGTGGACTCCCTCATCACATCCACAATCCTCTTTATTTCAGCTGGGTTGTCACTCCAGGGCAAAACCTCTAAGTAAGCCAGACAACCTCCACCAGATGGACCCAGGTCAGATTGAAAGGATCGAGCAGCGTGGAGTCCATAATCATCATCACTGATGAGCAGACCTGCCCAAGTCCAGCCAAAGTATTTTAGAATCTGAATCATAGCACGCACCTAAGAATACAGAGAGGAGGGATTAGTGCACATGCTGGAATAATGTTTAACTGGAAATTTTGTTAAACATTTTCTGAAATGTACGATGTTTAATTCTAGCCTTTCAGTGTTGTTATCTGAAAACCGTATAACTCCATCAATGAGACAAATAATGTTACTGGTGATACACAAAAGAATATATTTAAAGAATAGGGTTGTTCTTCCCGATTATATTTTTAACGGCACATGCTGTATTTATGTATTTTAATTTTGCTGACAGATTTTCACCTGGAAAGCATCACTTGGGATCGTCCTAAAGAAGGATGGAAACTTTTGCCGGTCACTCAGGCAGGAACATGTGGCAAAATAACTCACCTGCAAAAAACACAGACTGTACATCCTGAAACCATGCAATGCCTTTAAGGCTGGCTACTCCATATTTACAATTTCATTAAATTTGAAATGAAATCACAATGATCCAAAAGAGTTAATAGATGTTAAGGCAGAAAAACTTACCATGGGCACTCTGTACAAACCTAAGACATTGGAGATTGCAATAGAACGTGTAGAGGAAGAATCACCCACAATCCCGAGGACTGGAGGGGGTCCTACACAGGTCTCATGTAATGTAACTTGCTCCTCTATACCACTGGTTAATGACAATGCCGCACGGAATCCAATTCCTAGTTGGAGGCAGTTATCATACAGAC